CTAATTTATTGAATTCATAAACATAATCAGAGTCATTTATCCTGTCCTCCATACTGTTTTTTACGAATTTAAGAAAAATAAGTTTGATATTTCATTACCATTGAAAACTACAATAAAAAATTAAAGGTCTGAAGAGGCATTCATTATATATTACATTATATATATTATTGATGACCTTTAGATAATTTTGATGTCAATTAGCAGAAGAGAATCAATTCAATTTGTACATTTTACAGTTATTATATATATATATATATATATATATATACAATGCCTTTATATATATATATATATATACATACATATATATATATATATATATATATATATATATATATATATATATATATATATATATATATATGTTTATGTATGTATATATAAAGGCATTTTATACATACATACAGAGTGCTTCAGGGTTAAGTGGCCAAATTGGAAAAATTAACTCAGGACTTCAAAGAAGAAAAAAATTTCCCTCTGAAGGTATGTACGCAAACACTTTGTTTGGGAGATATTCACACCTTTCGTTGTTATGTATTATTTACGTTATGTGAAATAAACAAAATTTATTTATTTGTTCTAACTACTTTATTAATTAAATGTAAAAATTATGTTGTTCAAAGTGATTTCCTTTAAGACAGGCTCAGCATCTTTCTTCAACAGTTGCAGTGGCAGAATGGCACCGAATGTGTTACTGCTTCACGAGATTCAATTATCCTTCGTAAGGATTTAAGGTCATTGGACACAATCTGGAAATCAAATTTTTCTATTTAATTAGGTACTAAGAAATCATGAACACCCATTTTCTTTCTACTTAAATCGTAAGATAATATGAACACAAAGTCGAAAAAAAAAGTGGCCAACCAAAATATTGGTCCGTTTCTCCACCTCCACCTCCACCCCGAAAAAGTTAAAATAACAAGGTTATGTAGGCCTAACGCCCTCATACATAATTGTATTTGTACATTATTCTGGTAAATTTCGCTCCAACTGATCGTCATTTGTATCATACTATAACAATGGAACAATGGATTTACGAGTTACGAACAGGCGATGAATACTTTTGATTGAAATCTATTTGCTAAATGCCTAACACAATCTCTGTAAATCGTTGTTATATTTTGTTGTGCTTTCGTTAGGATCATTTCAAATAAAACTTCAGTAATGGGAATTAATAATTTGTGAAAACACTATCGAGCGCAATAAAAAATTCAATAGAAATATAATACTTTTTATTTCTTATTTTTACAGTTAAATAATAAAAAATATATATTGACTACTGCAAATTGGTTTCTTGGATATATATAGTCTCCATATTATTTAAGTGTTGAGATATTTTACTTCAAAAGTTAAAAAAAAGCAGTCATTATTGGATTTTTTGATGCTATATTTCCCCTGCTCAATACTCTCAATCGTTGTAACGCCAAACTACAAATTGTAATAATACATCATTACAAAAAAGATGAAATGCTGAAAACTTCGCTCACTTACAGCATGCAGGTCCAATTTTTTTTTTTAGATACTTAAAAAAATATTCAAAAATTAGTAAACTCAAGCCTACTTTACACGAATGAGCGTTAAATGATCCAGCGTGACGGTCTCATTTAATACCCACACCATAAAGTGCTAAGCACGACTTAAGAGGGTTCCACATACAAAAAAAAAATTAGGTATCGATTGCTTCCCTCAAAACGTAAAAATCGTTTCTTATCTGCCACCGGAGTTTGAATTAATAAAGAAGCTTCGATGGAAATACAAGAGCTGAGATACGGGACTAGCTAGACCTGGACGGCCGTTATTGGAAGCTGAATCAATATGGCCGGGGAGTATTTTAAATATTCAGACCTGAGCTGTTTATCAAGTATCTCAAAATAGATCTTCAATCGATGCCCTTTTTTCGCGACAGTTTTTTTGCGGCAACCATAGCTGACGAATATTATTTCTCATTCCACACACTTCTTTAATATATTTCAATAAATACTCAAAAATATATGTAAATCAATATTAGTATTTTTTTAAACAATGGTAGGATCTCCCAGTATCTGTTGAAGTCGGTTAAATAGAAATTTTAAACATACTAGAGTATTAAAGCTGATCCGCCACTCGGGAAAATACATAATCAAGATACAGTTAACAATATCTTTTTAACATTTTAAAAATCTTTGCACAAAGATGCACATTTGAGGACTAAATGTGCGACACTATGAAAAAAAGAAACAGCTTATCATTTATTATTGAAATGCACAGTAAAAAATTGTTTGAGAGTAAGAATTTACCAGAGTATGAGAAATCTTATTGAGATCGAAAAATTTAGACAAGAGAATTGGTGGGATAATCTTGAATATTGTTCTCTCAATAGGAAAAATGTATATTGGATGTCGGCATGGACAACGTTAAATATTAAACAGATTTTTTTAGGTTTGGTTTTCTTGTTTTGTTTATGTGAATAATCTGTTAATTTAATTTTAGAGCATTGTTTAGTATTAATATTTAAAAAATAAAATTTTATTGTTGTTTAAATGGTCTATTGGCAGTTCTAAATTTCATATTTAGGTTAATAATTTACATTATTTTAATTGTCAGATTTTTGAATAAATATGATTTGTATGTTTTCCTAGAGATGTTTTTAAATATTTATAATGTAGGATAAAAAGTAAAAGAAAACTGTAATACTATAAGGGTAATAATGTTTATAATATAGAGATAGACTCTATTTGTATAAGGTTCTTCCCTCAAAATAAATAAAGATTAAATAAAAAAAATATATTAGGATATAATTGAAAAATCCAATTAAAATAAACTTGAGTCTTTAAAATGTAGGATATAAAACGGAGAGAAAACTACCTAAATCATATACATATATACACATAAAATACATGATATCTTTCCTCAACTGTTTGGAAAAAATTGGAAACATTGTACTCAATCCAAGAAAATTTAATTAAATTATCATAAACGACTGTACGTGTTATCGTCACACTCATCACAAGGATTCTTCTACAGACAGTCAGACACGGAATCAAAATTATTAAAACGTACAACGCGGGTCGAAATTTTCGATTGTGAGGTTGAAACAATTTTTCATTTTCTGTATGAATAATAAAGTTTTCCTTCAGTCAAGAGGAAGTAAACGAATCTATCGAATGGAATTAATAGATCTATTTTAAAATTTACCAATAGATAGTGTCTGATATGTTTCTAACATATATATTTAATAACGTTTGTATTTAAAATGCCGTAAAATCTTTTTGTCCTTCGATAAATCTAGTGAAGGCAACAACAAAATTTTCCTAGTTAGAGAAGATTAGACGTTTTTGTTTCAAGGTTTAGATTATTTTTTTTAAATAACATTACCGATATATTCCCAAAATGTATATTATAATATTTTATTTATAATAAAAAAAAATTTAGGATACAATTAATTGAAATATATAACCGCATGAAATTTGCCCGTGTTGCCTATAAATCTATAAAAAAAAATACGTATGGAACTAAAATTAAGTATTGCACTGAACTTTCTGGCAACTTTTCTTTCATAATCTATTTTATATATCTTTATCATTTTCTGGAAAGCAGCTCTAAAATGTTTGATTAATTTGTCACACCAATGTATAATTAAGTTATTTTTAATATAAGGTAGGTTTTATACTGCCTGACGCAGTCCGACAGAGCTTAAATGCCGGATTTTCTAAATGGCTTCCTCTAAAGTTGCTTTAATATTGTGTATTCAAACTAATTAATAGTCATGTTTATTAACAATATGAAATGGCTAAATTTAAACTTCGAAAAAAATTGAAAGCAGCACCAATTTTTTTTTATGTATAATTAAACTTATTCCATGGGCCTAGTGAAAAATTCCAGAATTACTTATAAAAAAATAAATATTGGAATATTTTTTGAAGGAAAACCTATTTAGGCACATTTCGCACTTTTTGTGAAGAGTGAATTTGATTTAGTCGAAAATTTCTGATCGATAACACTCGGTTAAAATTGGCTGAAGTCGACTACTTGAAATGTTTTTGCATATGGATTAAAATATCTCAAAAAATATAAAATCGTACCTGCATATTGTAAGCGAGGGGAATATCTATAATTTCATCCTCTCTGTAATGGACTATAATTAAAAAAATGTATCTTATTGTGAAGCCTTGTTAGAGAGGCGAAAAGGAAAAAAAGAGTGTCGAAAACTAAATGAAAACGAAAATATGGATTAAAATATATCAGAAATTATAAATTGAACTTGCATATTGTATAACGAGAGAAATGTTCGGTATTTCATCCTCTTCATAATGAGCTATTAATTATAATTTAAATTTCATATAATTAATCTCGCCTTGTTAATGATTCCTCTCGTTTCCAATCCTTACAATCCAAAATCCTTCCTAAAATCCTCAACGCTCCTTACTTTGTCACAAATAAAATCATCCATAAAAACCTTAATGTTCCACATGTTTCCGATTGGGCCCAATCCAGATACCTATCCTTCCATAACAAACTCCAGAACCATCCGAACCCTCTCGTTTCAAACCTTGCTTCCTCCTCGATCCCTGATAACCCTCCGAGGCGTCTGAAAAGAAGATGGCCTCGGGACCTTCTAATATAGAACTTTAATTTGAGTTCTACCAATGGGTGGTTTCTATTCATGTTGTACATGTCATATTACCAATGTCACATTTACTTGTTGTATTTTTAATGTAATACAGTTGTAAATTTCATTAAAATAAAAAAAATAAATAAAAAAAATATTTCTCCTGTTAATGATTCATGTACCCTTAATATTAATGCCTTTTAATGTGGCAGAATGTATTAATATTCAATAAAAATAAATAAATATATATATATATATATATATATATATATATATATATATATTTCTCCAGTACGTTGCTAACATAATTTATAACTGTCAGATATCCATAAACTCGTGTTTCTAAGCTTCATGTTTTTACATAAGCTGCTTAAGCCTCGTTAATTCGATATATAAAATTTATTGCCTGACACTATCTCTGAGCTCTTGAGGAGTAGTAAGTCGTCCGTATTAAATTTGCATCGAGATAAAACTTAAAGATAGGGCTTGGAAATTGGGCGATAATGAGGAGGTTATTGTCCACTATCGGAGCATTAGCGTGCTGGGACGGTGGCTCGCAGATAGTTCGAACATGGAACAAAAATATCATATCTTGAGGGAGTTCCGCTCGCGTTGATAGCGTCGTATCGCGGGCGGGCTTCTGGTCCAAGCAGCTACAGCTGCCTTGCTTATCTTCTGCAGGACCGTTCTGTACCGGGCGGGAACTCTGCTTTCTGTTCCGATTTAGAGATATCGAGTTGTGGAGAATGACAGTATGTTTTCAGTCACACATAACTAAAATCTATTCACAGTAACTAAAATCTACACTGTATATACGGTAATATAGATCCCTTTTGCAGTTCTGAGGTGCGGATGGATTCTGATGAATGAGATATCAAACGAAATAAAATTAACTAAGACTTTATGTTTTTATAGTGACGAATATTAAAAATATATATATATTGTAAAATAAGCATAAATCTAGAAAAGAGACATAAGGAAAAGGAAATATGTTATAAATGGAAAAATCCAAACAACAAAGCCATGGTCTCCAAACACACAGGTGAATAGTCAAGTAGCCAACGTTTCGCCAATTCAGGCATTATCAGGAAGGAAAAACCTAGATCACTTATACACAGTAAGAAAAAATATATTGATGCTGTAAAGATCTCACGAAGCCGTCCAAATATATACTGGAGGAAAGAGAAGGTTCTATTAAATCAGCTAAGAAAGGTTATAATGAACAGCTGATAAGCAAAAATGCAAGTTAAAACTCTATACATAACTAAAATATAATAATACAAAACATGTTAAACAAAATAAAATAACAAATTAATAAATTTAAAAAAAAGCTTGAAGATATATGTAACATCTATATAACTATTCCCACCAATAATCAGTGGATAGATGGATATTCCAGAAGTAATATTACTACAGCTTACATGCTCGTGAATATGAGAAGGCTATACAGGAGAGAATTTCCAAATGAAATAACAAAGATAACTGAATCAAGTGATGGAAAAGGTAATGCTAAGTAATATATATATTAAACCATAAATGAACATTGCCAAATAAGTATAAAGCTAGAAAAGAGACATAAGATAATTATGTTATAAATGGAAAAATTCAAATAACAAAGCAACGAGTCTCCGAACACAGAGGTTAGTTAACTTGCCAACGTTTCGACAATTCAGACATCATCAGGGCAGAAAAACCAAGATTTCGTGTATACAGAAAGAAATAATAAAATAAAGAAAAAAAATATTGATGCTGTTGACAGCATACGAAGCCAAATACATACTGAATGAAAGACTAGGTTCTATTAACTCACCTAAGGAATGTTATATTGAACAGCTTATAAGCAGAAATACAAGGAAGAAAAGGAAAAAAAAAACTGTATACATAACTAAAATATAATTATACGAACTGTGTTAAACAAAATAAAATAACAAATTAATAAAATTAAATAAAAAAGTTGGAAGATATATATATATATATATAACATCTATATTACCATTCCCACCAATACCCAGTGGATAGACGGATATTCCAGAAGTAATATTACTAAAATAAGCATATAGTTGAGAAAAGAGACATAAGGTAATATGTTATAAATGCAAAAATCTAAACAACAAAGTTACTAATCTACAAAACGAAACTGAAATTGCAATTTAGGGTAGGCATGTGCCTGGATGTAAGAACAATTTTTTCATTTAATTTATTTTTTAACGATAGTGTCACTTGAGTTAATTTAGAATACTTTTTTTTTTTATCATATATTATTATAGATATTTTATGTCTTCTAGTTCTAGAAATAGACATCTTTATCAGTAGATATTTGCTCCCATAAAGTCAGTAACTTTCTATGAAAAATTCATTTTTAAGGGCCATATAGAATTCAGGTCCACAACTAGTGCTTCTAACAAGTGCCTTGTTAAATATTTTATTGTTGTAAGGTTTATTACTGTCCAACCTCCGATATCTTATCTTCAGGGACCTTCCCACCACTTATTTTAGACATATAAGAACCTATATCTCAAAATTTAATGAAGTGCTCCTGTTGATAATATACATTAGTGTGTATATATGTTAAAGATAATTCAGATACTAATAGACAGTGAAACCTAATATCAGAATTTAATTGATTATTATAATAGATTATTATAAACATCAGTATAGCTCAGTGAGTAAGACAATGTTTTACTGTCTCTCGTGGCCGGTTCTGAGACCAAGGATCAACTCTGGGGTCGGGAACCTCGGGTTCACCCAGCATTTATAAAGTGTTTATGCTAAATTGTTTCAAAATTTATTGTGGGGCGTGGTCCTTGCAAAATTAACTACTTGCCTAGAAACAGTAACTTTTTACAAATTACTGAATCCAAGACCCTCAAGTTATAATGTGTTATTTTTTTATGATTTCGATTTGATTAATTACTATTTGAAAATAGTAAACTACAGTGCAGTAAATAATTTTGGTTCCTTTTGTTATATCTAAGAAAGTATTCTTCCTATACATTCCATGATACAGACTCCTTTATATCAAATTATTAACATCAAAAGATAGATCTTAATATAATCACAACATTGAGAAAAAAAGTGGCCTACAAAAATATTGGGCCGTTTGGCCTTTATAATTTCGTTATTTTGACATATAGTTTTTGTGATCAAATTATCTTACGATTCAATTGGAAAGCAAATGGGTATTTACGAGATTTTAGTAAAATTCTAATTCTATAATAATATTCTAATAAAATAAAATAGGAGGAAGAAGAACAAATTAATAAATACAAAAAAAAGAGCTGTAAGGTGTGTAAAACATGCATAACCCACAAAACCTAGTGGACACACGACTACTCACAATGTTTTTTGGGGTATGTATGTTTTACACACCTTATAGCTTTTTTTTTATTTATTTATTTTTATTAATTTGTTCTTCTTTCTATTTTATTTTATTAGTATATTATTGTATTATGTTTCAAGTATGAGTACTTTTTTTTTTTTTTCTTTCTTTCTGTATATATATGATTGTTTTTCTGCTCTGAATTGACACGTTGGCAAGTTTACCGTTCGCTTCTATGTTTGAGGCTCTTGGTCTTTATATTTTGGATTGTTTCAATGACTTTAACATTTTATTTTTTGTTGTATTATTATTTATCCAACTGCGCGTCCAACCATTACTCTGAATAATTTCACCAAGCCGTTGACAAACAGCATTAAGTCAACCACTGTATAATTTAGTTGTCATACAACCTCTTTAACGCCATTAAAGCACACTTGATACACAATTGACAAACTATTACACGTGGTGATAAATTGACTCGTTGAATCCTGTTATTGACGCCCTACTTTTTGTTTGTTTAATAATCGTCCTTGGGGAAGGTCACACTTTTCCGTTGTTTGTTGACGTTGATGTCGGCAACACTCTAATGAACGCCATTGTTGAGTCTCTATTGTTGGATATTTTATCTCCATTCAACCGGCTTCGGTCTTGGATATATTTCAATGGAGGATACATTCTGTGTATGTGATAAACATAGATTATTTTAAATTGCATAGACTGAATTGCAATTATTATGTTGCAAAGTTAATGCAACTAAAAATTTCTATAGAGGAGTCAATCTATTATTATATAAGATTAAATGATAAGAGATAAACTGTAATAAAATGAAATGATAAAATATATGTTGTGTATTTATATCTATAACTTTATTGATAAGGTTTACAAATTTATTCTATTTGGTCAATTACAATTTTAAAATTACATTTAAGTTTGAGATAAAATTGATGAATATGCTTTTAAAAAAAATTCAAATTAACATGTTTTTAAAGTTATGCTTGTTTATAATTATTGTATTAGTTATAATAACAGCCTTATTTATCAAACATGATAATTAAATTTTTTAGGGATGATTAAAAATATTTTCAGACCATTTTTTGAGATAATATGAAAAATTAATCCAATAACCGGAGCGATCTGGGAACAAAATATTAATTCTTGAAGGATATAGCTGCTTAGAGAAACAGTCCAATCAATATCTCATGATATCAAGGCACTGAGGTTAAGATGGGGCATGGGGGAGCAATCCATTTGGAAGCAGATTACCGGATAGAAATAGCCTAAGATAGGCAGAGATAGAGTATGCGGCAAAAGTTCTACAAGACCTGTAATGACAACAGGAAAAAAAGAAAAAAGAAAAAGTAAATATAATTATATTTTAAATATACATATCTATTGTCATTATTTCCAAACAAAAAATTAAGGTTTTTTATTTCGAATCAAACTATTGAAATTAATTGACCCAAGAATACGCTGCCACGCAATTATTTTCATTTTTTTTTTTATTTATATACATTATTCAACTAAATTTGATAGGGAAAGTAGAGCCTTTTTATCAGTCGGCTTTTTCTCTAGTTGTATTTTCTATACTACTTTAAACTGACCTTCCATTAAACTCTTTTAGTTTTAAATATAACGAAACATTTTATATATATACATATATATGTTTATGTTTTAACAGTATACTTTAATAGGTAGGATATAAAAAAACCAGATGGATTGATGTAACATCAGAAGAGCAAATAACAAACTAAAACTAGAAATCAATTGCTCAAAATAGGCTAGGTCATGCAGGCAAAAATCTGCAAGATCTATGAAGTCAAAATAAAATAACAACTATAATTGATAAATCTGAAGATGTAATTAATAGCTCCTCTTAAAATTACAACTTCAGTTATATATCATGTAATAAAGTTTGGAACCATTATTTTAAAATTGTATAGCCCTTTTTATGACTTACAATACTTTATTCACGATCAATTAATATTCAGAACATTACTTTTTGATGAATATTACACAACTCGATATCAGTTCTCACCATATGTTAACAACGAAAGAAAGAAAAAATTGACATTTTTTCATGAAACGAGCATATCCTTCACTTAGGGAGTACAACAATACGAATGAGATGTGCTTAAAGTGTGAATATTAAATTTCTACACGTAATAAATATAGCTAATAGCGGTTAATGTCAAACATTCAAAAGCATGGAGGATCTGAGACGCATTACCCATTGAAACACAAAGTGTAATAGATTTAAGAAACGAAGAAGAATAAGATTATTGATGATTTTGTTAACTTTCTTCTATCAATAAGTAAAGATAATGCCTGTATTTTAGAAACAATTTTAAACGATATAAAGATGCTTGATTATATAATCAAAATCACTACTTATTCTCACTTGAATTTTATAAAACCACTTCGTTACTTCAGTTTTAAACAATTATTCATTCAGGTTCAAGTTTTATATGAGATGGAAGTAACACTCAGCAATTATTTAGCAGTTCATATCCAGTTTAATGTCATCTTGCAATGGCAATTATATAGGCAATATAGTACTTGCTTAGACAGGTGTTAAAACAAAAAACAAAAAAAATATTAAGTTTTATAACTGTCATTAACTCTGTTTAAAACATCAAATCTGGCATTTTATAAATCAATATTGTTCACCTTTTTTGTTTAAAAGAAGAAGTTAAACTCCATTTTTTTTATCTATTAAATAGGAATTTTGAAATTAAATTATATCGATTTCTCACTAAAAAAATAAATAAATTATTACTATGTTAGAAATTAGAATTAAAAAAAATGATTTTTTTTTTTTCTAAAAAAATGTAGGTGAATAGAAGGCTTTCAAGCGAAAAATAAAATAAAAATTTTCGTATAGTAGCTCTCTTCTTTCAAACGAATGATTTATAATCAAAAAATTGATTTATGTTCTCATCTATTTTGAAGTAATAAAATTCATCTAATACTCATTAAGTAATAATTGGTTCTATGATAGATACGAGTTAACAGATGCCATCAGTATGGCGCCCAAACAATTGATACATTCACCAGCTAAGACAATATATTGACGTGCTCAATGTAGGTGAGTGTGTAAACACAACTGTGGTAAGGATGGTTTGGTATCTCTTAGCGCCCTATTTCATATACGATATTGGGGTGGATATATTTATAAACCATATATAACGTATTTTATTAGAGTATATTTTAATATATTTTTTTAAATCGAAAAATATATATATATTTTAAACTCAATGACTGAACTAGGTATCCACGAGATGGTGGTGGGGGAAGGGATGCGGTAGATTAGGACAACCTTGTGTCATTCATGTGTCTGCAGGAAATTCACAATTACATTACATAAGTTGTCCTTTTTCAAACATGACCGGCAGCAATGTTCCATTGTTAAGCTGGACAGCCAATTTGTTTATACAAATGTAAACATAAACATATGGCCGATAAAAATACGAGTCATTTGAAAAGTCGATAATGAATCGAGTGTCAACTGAAATATACAATAATCGATCAATAAACAAAATATATTGCTTGGTTGCAATACAACCATTTCATGTTTCTCTTATTCCATTTTCCTAAAAAAAGGAAACTGACCGTTATTTTATTCTTAGAAGGTATTCTGTAACGTATCCATTTCATATTGAGTTTTTGAAAAAAACATTCTTAAAAGTAGTAAACAGTCTGTGATTGGTCTTGTGTTCGCAAAGTATAAAATTGGCTCTTTTCTGGTTGTAGGTTTTTTTTTTTATATTTAGTAATACATAACTAATCAATTTTTTTTTAACATGACACAAGAAACTGTGGTAAATAAAAAAAAATCCTGTCAGCATATGATTGTGTAGTTCATGAATTCATGTATATTTTTAAGTTAAAGATGTAAAATGGTGTGAATATTTATCTATACCTTATTTTTTGTTTTGTTTAAAAAAAAAAAAAACAATTCATGAAAAGAGATAAACTGTCTATGGTTCTAAATAGAAAATTGGTTCATATCTAGTAGTAAAGTTGTTTATATTAGTAATACATAATTAATTATTTCTTTTTCTTTGTAACTATTGATATATAATTTCATATTTCATAAATCAATATCAATTTCCACGTAAAAAAGGAAGATATATGTAAACATATTTATCCATGCCTTCTGTTTTTTTCAAAGAGATATTTCAAAATATTCGGCATTATTACTTTTTTGTTAACCTTAGAATATGATTTTTTTTTATTTTAATTAAGAATTAACGTTGTGAAAATTAAGTAACAGAAAGGGGTGTTAAGACTTAAGGGGTGGGGATCGGAGAGGGGATGAGAATCAATCAAGTCCACTATTTATAGACATACTTCATTATTCTTGAGGTTAAGGAATAAACAATACAAAAAAACAACAACTAATGTATTCATTTTTAAATAATAAATAAATCATTCTATTGTTATATTAATAAATGTAAAAATGATTGTATTATAAAAAATAAATTAATATATAAACTATTCTGTAAGAACCCAAAACATCCGAATATTACAATAGAAAACGAAAATATTAAAGCAAAAAAAAAATTGAATTTTAATTGAAAAATGAAGACACAAGTTGTCGTAAATGCATAGCGAGTAATGATAACTCATTTAAAATAATTTTATGCCATGAGGAAAAAAGAGATTTTAACGATTGGAAAAGCAAGCAGTAAAATAAACAATTGCCCATAATGATGTTTATGACAACATAAATTAGCGGGAGATAGATTTCAAGGACGACCATGAAGCGCATTTACACGTGCGCATGCTGACAGCTGACAGCTGTCATCCCACATAAAATTTAAGAGGCCAATGAGACTTACCAGTTCTTCCAAGATCTTCCAGAGAGAGATTCAGCTGTGACGGATGTCTTTTGATGGATGTAGTAGCAGTATATCTTGAAGATAATTAAACCGTTACCGTACAAAAACTAGACAAACTATTATTTAACGATAAAAGATATGTTTAAAAAAATAATAAAAAAAACAACTGACGCTGGCGCTGATAGATATAAAATAGTTTGTGTTGTGTGTTGTTTGTGGTGCTCGGAGCTGAGGCGGTGCGGCGACCGACGGCTTCTCCCCTGACTGAGTACTCTGTGAGCTCGGCGAGCGGCAGTGGGTCGTATATATAGCCGCGCCGACGTCACCACTACGTCACGACGGTGACGCCAGAGGCCCCGCTCAATACGGGGGGAATTGACACAGTTATGGCACGGCACCCCCTACGTCACCGCCCCCCCCCAACCCCCGGGCGGGGTGCAGCTTGCACCGCCCGCTCCTCTGCTCCAGTTACCTGCGCAGTCATTACTTATCTATAACACCCACCTGTTTCATTAGCCTGCATTTCGATCGATTGATGTTCCTATTTACATATGTCCATTTGTATTTAAAGGAAAAAATAAACTTATTTACCCTATATTTAATTGATTCATTAAACCATATCTGAAGAAATCGATTTGAATTTTAAAACGTTGCAAATTTATACATATTGACCTTTTGCTTTATTTTTATTTTGTCCACCCCTTCCTCGCAATTTAGGCTATACAGGGATTTTTCCGAGCCAGAGGAGAGACTTGGGGATTACTGCTAGAGTTAAAAGTCCCTCTCTTCCATCCCCGGCACTGGGAGGCGAACTCGTAATTTAAATCTCTTAAAATTCGGTTTATCAATCAACTGGTTGCCAGGCAACCGTGTTTTACACACCATTGGCCACCTCGTCCCAGGTTCGATATGGACCAATTCTTCCTCTAAATTTGAGATTTAGATTGATTTATTTAAAATTTGAAATAAATAAAAGAGGAATGGGCAATCAACCAACCTGCTCCCGGAGTCAGTTGGAGTAGTTTACTTCTCTAAGCATACTGACCTACTCCCCAATCCAAACAGAATACCTAGAAAACGTGGCCTAGTAGGTTGTGTACTCTATATGACCTTAGTCTGTTTTAGTTTGCTGAAGTACTACACTGTTGAAATGGTAATAATTTCCGATGCAGTTATATACCAAACATATGGCTTATACCATGTCCTCATGGTTTACTAACAAGGATTCCTAATTTTGTAAAAGTTTTATTTATTATTATTAGTATGCATTGGAGTTTAGGCAATGGCTAGATTCTCCACTCAAGCCATGTATGGGTGATAATAGCGCCTCTGATCAGCCTCTACTGGTCCTTAATATCAGTAATGCGTCTGATTTAGAGGCGCTGGGATCTTCTAGAGTCCTGCCTTTCCTCCAGTGGGGAGAAAGGCTTGGCTCGGATATCTTGGGTGAACGATTTTTTTTTTTTTATATTGTATGGAAGCGTGTGTGTATGTGGGTAGATGTTGTTGTTATTAGTTTATTGTGGTTTGTTTTAGTTTATATACAATACTTTTAGTATTATTGTTTTTTCTGTATTATTTATTTTAATTATTGTTGATAGAGCGTGAGCCTCTTGGACAAACAAACAGCGGTGCTTGTCGTTGAGGATTCCAATCTAGGAATCCTCAAACGAGACCGAAACGACAAGCACCGCCCCATGTTTCTGGGTCCTTTAGCATTAACCAGACAAACGCTCTAAGCGTCCAATTAACTACAAGCGAATCGTATACATGACTATAATATGGCTTATTTAAACTTTTAGAGCTCCAGTAAACCATCGAATTCCTCTTGTATACAATCCTTACAATCCAAAATCCTCAATGCTCCTTACAGCATCACCAATTAAATCATCCATGACGGCCTTAATTTCCCTTATGTTTCAGATTTCTCTCAATCCCTAAACCATCCCTTCCATAATAAACTTGAAATCCTTTCAAGCCTTGCCTTCTCTTCGATCCGTGATAACCCTTCGAGGCAACTGAAAAGAAGATGGTCTAGCGTTATCCTAACGAAGAAATTATAATGAAGTGGTTACAATGGGTAGTTTCTCTAGAAAACTATTCATGTCATTATGTATCTATCTTCACATTAACATTTTTTTTATTTTTCACAAACATATTTTTTATTTATACAGTTATAAAGTTCATGAATAAAAGAAATTATTCTCTTATATTGTACTGTAGACTTTCACATTACGTTTCATACTTTTTTAATGTTCTCGTGAATCTATACTTTCCAAGCTATTAAAATAATAAAAAAAAAATGAGATTTCTGGGCGGGCGTGACATAATATACAATGAAACAACTCGTACCGGACACCTCTGTAAGCCTTTTTTAAATTTTCCAATCAAATTTCAAATCTTCTATAGAACTAATGTCCTTCCTACCCTTAGGACTGTGCAGATCCAAGCACAACTTCGTATTTACATGCTCATACTCGCCATGGTTGGGCAATTTGTAAACTCGGCTCAAAATAAACTTATCATAGACAAAGAAATACTAGGCTCCAATAATAATATTGAACTTTGTTAGTCAGTGAGGTAAGATAATATTCACACTATATGTACAAGAAATATAAAATAAATAGAAGCAAAATAACAATAAATAATAATCAAAAAGTATATACAATAAATAAAATAAAATAACCTGAAAATTAAAACTAAGAAAAAAAGTGCATTCCTATATACAGTGTATTTAATTAAATTACATATATGAAAATAACAATACAAATATACACAAACAACCAGATCTTTCCAATGCCCTAGGGCATTTTAAGTATTGGAGATGGGTAAGGGTAACATATGTGGCACATTGCCTACTCACTTGGTACTTATACGAGAAAACAGGTAGCCTACAAAAATATATATAGGACAAAGGGTCAAATATTTTTATAGCTTATCTTTGTTATCGATTTTGTAGTTAAATTACGTTACGATCCAATTGCAATGCAAATGAGTATTAATAAGTTTTTAACACCTTATCAAATTAATTGATTTAATGAGAAAATGCCTCAGTTCGGAGAATTTCTTCAGATAAAGAGTTTTAGGTTACGATAAGATGAAGCTATTCAGGAAGTTTTAGACGGATATTAATAATTTGTTATAAAGGGTCTGTACCACGGACCAAGTTCAAAACGGTAAAATCAGCAACAAACTGTACGATTGCAATGATTTCTTATATTTTTAAAGAAATCTCTTCATTATCTTTTAAAAAACTGATGTTTAACTAATGTATACTTTTTGATTTATGTACATATCGTTACTGTTAGTGCAAAGGATCGTGTGTAAAAATTGATCTTTTTATTTCAGCTTAAAAACTGGTAATTTCTTTATGTTTATTAGTATAATTTCATATTTTATTTCGCTCTGCAATTGTAAAAGATTACAAAATGTCACTTTAGCACAAATAGAATAAACATGTAGAACTGTTACATACGACCTTTTGCACTAACAGAAGCGGTATGAAACCTTATAAATATACAAAAATAGCATCGGAGGTGGGGGCAGTTAAGAATACCAAAAATCACTTTTCCAATATTTACTTGATTTACCTACCTATTTGCGACCTTATATTTGTGATAGAGAACTTAAAAAATACCAAAAATCATTTTGACATTCTGAAATTTCAACAAAATTGATCTCATTTTTTATGGTAATGTTGAGGCTATAAGAACAGCGAATAAATATACAAAATTCAAAGTTAAAATTAGGTTATTCTTCCTTATAATATTGTATAATGAAATATGTAAATTTGGCATGAATCTATTAGTCCGTTGCTTTCCACTTGAATCGTAAGATGATTTCATCACGAAATCGAGAAAAAAGGTGCCCTTCAAAAATGTTGAGGCGTTTGGCGTGACTTACACACCCAAATTTTCAAAATAACGAGGTTATATAAGCCAAACGGTCCAAAATTTTAGTTGGCCACCTTTTTTCTCGATTTTGTGATCAAATTGTCTTGTGATCCAAGTGGAAATCAAATGGATATTTACGAGTTTTAAGTAAATAATTAAATAAACGAAGTTTGCTGACCTCAAGATTGAAAAGGCATCAATCCCGAGAATTTTCGTAAATAAAATATTTTTATGTTGCGATGAGATGAAGCTATTTACGAAGTTTCAGCCGGATGTTAATAATTTGATAAAAAGGTGCCCGTACCACGGACTATAAGGAATATGTTTCTGAATAGCATATGTATTTTTAAAGGAAATCTAAAATGGCTTGTTATGAGATTTTCTAAATTCAGAAGACTGGAAATTAGTAAATAAATAAATTATGAAAAAAAAAAATCAGCTTTAAAAATACAAAGTTTTTTCGATCAAATACTCGATGAAATTTGATTATTTTTGCAATATTCAAACACTGATATCATAAAACCACTAGAGAAAAAAAATATTTGTGATGTATTTAATTGGTATTACTAAAAAACCAAAAATATAAAAACTATAACCATGCACGTTCAAAATTTATATTTTACTGGCTGATTCGACATGAAATGACACCATTATTGATTTACGTTCTTACTTTGCTACCTTGAACAATCGATAATAAACAAAGTATTCATGAAAAAAAAATAGTTATAATTGTATTTAGTTGGTTAAAATAGCATATAATAAAAAAGTATAATAATTGGAGACTAAGAAATCTAGATCTTTTGTGATTTCGAACGGAATAATCCAATAATAAGTTTGTTAGAAAAAAAAAAGCATGAATAACTCGTAATAATTTAAAATAATGGATAGAGTTGTAGGAGCAAGGCAGTGAACTGTGATCACTAAAACTTGGAGACAAATGACTGCCTTCGGAAGAGAGGAATATATTAAACGAGGGAATATTGCCAAATAATTTAAACCATAATGTGATGTACTGAGCCAAACAAAGATTTAGCTGGACGCTAACGGAATATTACTACCGATTTAGTTCAAAGAGTTAAAGTAAAAAAAGAACTAAATAAAAGATGAGATAGCCTATTTCGGAGTTCCTTAGGGGCGGGGTGGCCGAGCGTGCTAAGCGTTTGCAATACACAAAGAACTCTAGCATTAATCCCCCGGCCCTAGAAATACCTCGTATAGCCGAAAAAGGTGAGGTGGGGGAGAACATAAAGATAGATATGGACCTTTACAATAATAGGTACTTGTCGGTTAGCCGGACAGGACTGACTGCTATCTTCCAATGTTTATAACCTGAACACTAATAATTCTGATGAGGTTCTCATAATTCCAATCTTAGTATTCATATTTATTGTATTATATTCATATTATTGAAATCGTAAACAAAAACAAATGAAATAAAATAAATACATATGTTGTAAAATAAAAAAATTATTTTATTTTACAACATATGTATATATTTAATAGACGAAAAGAAATGTAATAATAACAAAATAGTTTGGTTTGAAATTGAAATAGACAAAAAGAAATGTAGTAATTCCCACAACACATATAT